GTTCAATGAAAGTAAAGTATGTTTAAATTGTGATTTATGTTTCAGATTAATTGTAATAAAATATTTTCTTAAGAAAGTTTAATCTTAAAGAGCGTTTATTACTGAAAAGTTTTTTTATGATTGGCTTAATTAAAATTAATTAGATAATAACAGGCAGACACGCCACAATCTTCAATTTATTTTATGACTAACGACTCTCCCTCGCTTTGCTCGAATTCGTTCACTAGGTACGTTTCAACGTTTAGTATGGAACAGATATGCTATATATTATATGATATATAGCTTTATAACCTACCTCAATAAACCGGCTATCTAATGCAAAAAGAATTTTTCAAATCGAATTAGTAGTTACTGAGAATAGCGCGTTCAAACATACAAACTGTGTCTCTTTATAATATTAGTATAGATTGTTATTTGTTGTAGAAATGTATTATTATGTAATATTTAACCGCATCATTTACATTCTCCTCGGTCGGTTAGTGTGAAAACAATTTTGTTATTGAATTTCTTGAAAATGGTCGATGTTTATGAAAACTTTTCCTTTTGCCTATGTAATGTTTTATAAATAGGTACCTATGTTAGTTTTCTTTTATTCGTATTTGATCTACATAGTATTATGTATCGACTCTACCTTTTAAAAAATAGTAAAAGACTACTTTTTTGAATTCCGTACCCGAAGGGTACCAACGGAATCCTATTACTAAGCCCCCACTGCCCGTCCGTCCGTCCGTCTGTCAAAGGGCTGAATATGATGAGCCGTAATAGGTAGACAGTTATTTTTTTTACAGAGTGTGTATTTCTATTATATATAATAATAAAAAACCAAAATGGCGAATTTCAAAAAGGCTGTCGTGCAAATTATAAAATAATCAATTACGGTACGGAACCTTTTGTGTGCGAGTCCAACTCGCACTTGACCGATTTTATATTAAAATATTAGACGTTATTTAAGGAATTTTAAATAAATATTTCAGTCTTTAAACTATGCAATTTAAATTATAAACTTAAATTTAAAAACTTACTACTATTTTAAGTTTAAAACATTTGATAGAAGATTGTAAGCAAAACAAACGTATATACGATTTAATTGTTCATTGTTAAAACCACCTTTTTCTTTAATTGAGTAGTTGTTAAACAATAACATGTAATTTACGTTGTTCAACACTTTCTATGTAATGTGTGTAAATGAAGTCAGCAGTAAAATAAATTATAATAACCGTATGTGCTGTATAATTAAACGCAATTAGTGATGAAATAGGTTTTTTACACATTAAATTGATAACACTATGGAATATAATAGACGATATACCTATGTATATTGACAAAATCGAGAATAGTAGCAAAAACAGCAAATCATGCTACGATTTTTAACTTTGACATTTCTTTTGCATACTCTATAATTCTTTAGTTTGAAAGTATAAAGTCTGTTTGTAATGTTCAAGGATTGACGATAAAATCAATATTTATTGAAATCAAGAGCCAAGATGTTAAATAAAAAGAATCTTAATAATAATCACATTTAAAATATTATATACTGTATAATAAAAGTAACTAAGTTACTATAATTAGTAGTGAATGATCGGTACGTAGTCGGTAGTAGAGCTCAGTGTAGTCTTTAATTACGTGCAATCGGCGTCGGCATCAGCTGTGCGGCGCGCGTGTGTGGGTGCACGTGTACCGCGCCCCCCTCACGCACACAGCCGCGACGCCAATCAGCTGATCGCGACGCGTTGTCGCTGCCAAAACAAAACTCTGGAGAAACTTGGGTGGGCCAAGCAATAATGTAATATTTTTAAAGAAAAGTCTCTTTTAATTCGTTCTTTAATAAAAAAAATCAATGTGAAAAAGGTTACTTTAGAAACAAAATTGGAAATGATAGAGGCATAAGTATTCTTAAGTATATTTTGGTGTAATCTGGAGTCCAACACCCACTGCGACGTTATTTATTAGTTTCGATCCTACAGACATCCCGCTGTTGAAAATATCAGCTAACTTATTCATAGGCTCAGATAAGGCGAAACGTAAATAGCGTTGTTGTATACATTCGTTTTAAAGTTGTTTATCCAATGTGATTATTTACAAGGTACCTGAAATCAAGCGGAACGCTCCTCTCGAACGAAACATGAAAGAATTCCGATCCCTGTTTGCATCCCCCTCACTCCCACACGGCTAGACAAGGACAGCCTGCCAGGACGCCCACCCGTCAAGTTTGGCACTTAAAATGGCCGAGGCTTGCTTAGTTTCGTGATCGCCTAGGGTGGGGGCGATGTCGATAATATTATGTTTTATGGCGGCGAGCGGGCGAGGGCGGACATAAATTGGATATTCGTTTTACGAGAGATAATACTGACGATAAATTGTATGTTTCTGGAATCGAACTTTGAGGCACAAAATGTGCCACGTAACTGTAAGATTAGCTGAAGAATTGCCGCAGCGAGCGTTACGAGGAAGCGTATAATTACAGAATTGCTACTTTGATCGCAAAGCGTTATCAGACCGCAACGTCGAGGCCATTATATTTTTGCGACCATCATTCATACTTGCATTGCCTTGTTCCAGCACACAATTTACTTATCTCGAGCTCGTTTATACCGCACAAATACTGGTAATTACTTTAATACTCACATCAGACTTAAGTACTGTAATAATTTAAAAAGTAAAGAAATTATTTTCACTGGAAGATTTTATCAGAAATAATTGCACGTTACCATGCTGTGGATTATAAATATTATCGCTCGTAATTGTTCTTAGTAATCGAGACTCTACCGTAGCTGCTAGAGCATTTCTATTGTGTATCCACCTCGCAATCCTTATCCTAGATTGTCATTTACACTTTATTACATTTATTGCACGAATATCAAGTCCGTCACGAGGCGAGAAAACGAATCTGGATACGCAATATCAAAGCCATAAAAAGTAACAATAAACTTTTTATTATAGCAGCGAAGATAAAATAAATATAGCTTTAATTCTCCCCCCTCGTAGATGGTATAATTTCATTCTTTCTCTTTTGACGAGACATAAAGCCAAAGGAAATAATGCCGCAGTAAAACGTGAATCGGTCGTAGTGAAGGGGGCGGAGGCAATCATCCATTAGTCTCGATGTTTATATCGTGTTTATTACGTTGATGCTAATTTACCGGCATCGCTGCTATAATGTCGAGTAATGGAGAGCGCTCTTGACAGTGCGTGCAGCACTAATGCTTGCCGGTCGTGACTACACTGGTTACCGCTGAAACTGCGTTCAACTTCAAACCATTCTACTGCTTCTTAATAAGTTATACTACGTTAATTGTAGACTCTCCGCAAAAAGGAATAATAACCTTTTTACTTTAATGATCACATTATAAAGAGTTATTTTTCAGAACAATTTCTTTCTCAGCCGTCATTGTGGATTATTCACGACTCATTGTGTTTAAATACCTTTCATGTGGAAAAGAATGGCTTGTTAGCCTTTTGTTCATTGACGCTTGAGCTCATTCAAACAAAAGATATGAGTTATAGAATATGGTACTTGATTTTATTGCTAAATCATAGAATTGCCTTGTTATGTATACATATATAGGTTTTATACAAAGGAATTCTTTTGTACTGAATCTTACTCCTATAAGTTTTCTTATGCTTAATTTATATTGATTTTGGTTAATACAGGATACAAACTAGTTTTATTTCAGTATCTTAAGTATAATTTAACGGTTTGGTAGATTCAAAAAGTTTGAATCAACGTTATCTGCAACTCTATGTTATAATAAACTTATAAGTTATAATGTATATATTTATCGTTTTTGCTAATGCTAAAAACATTTAAAAAAAAGCCTCACATTAAAAATAGTGATTAGCAATTTACAGGTAGCTCTATTTTATCAACACGTAAGTAGGCAAGGCTTTCTCAATGTTTGTTTAATTGATAAGACTAAAGTGATTCATTTTATACATGTCTACTAAGTTTCAGGTAATGCAATAGAAAATAACAGCTGATTGTATGCAAACAGTCAATCATATTTGAAAATCATAGGTATGTTTGAGATGAATCTGCCAAATTTATAGAAGGCAAGAATCACTTTCATACCTTCCAACCTGCCTACGTCTCTCCTTTCTTTATCGTGTTTTGATAGAGTTCCAAAGAACGAAAAATTCGTTTTGCCATACTTACGTCTAAACAGTTATAGCAATCCATTATCCGGAAAGGTCCTGATGTCACAACATCCACAGATAGGCACTGGAGGCTGGGCCTCGTCAACTCTGATCAAACACTCCGCACACCACGCACTGGCATATGGATCGGAAAGATTACCGTACACCGGAAACGCGGAACGCCGCGTGGAGGTAAATAAAACGATGCTTTAGGGATTTTTGTAAAAAGATAGTTATATTTTTGGCATTGGACTATGACACAATATAATACTATGATATGCTAAGTAAGCGTTTTATAAAGACTTTTACATGCCGAATATTTGTTAATCAGACTATTCATCAGAGGACTCTTTATATATAATTTTAACAAACATAACTGCTTACAAAATGAGAGTAGAGTACGATTCTAGTTACCACTCGGGACCGTTCTAGAACTCATCACCTATACGAAAACATTACTATTTCTAGTTTTATTCGTAATATTTTTCTCACTTTCATTTTTTTTATTCTATAGGTACATATTTATTATAATACAATTTTTGAACATATAATCCTTATCGATATGATATCTTATACAGAAATACGCAACGAATCAGCGACGGTACAATAATTTATTATGAAGCATCGGTTACTGCGACTGCGAATAAATACTTTCGTTGGTGGGTATGCGCCGGCGTCGGCGTCGGCACATCGTCCGGCAGAAACACATAACTTAACGTTCAAACGATATCAACGCACATAGGTACTATTTGGTATTCGGTTCTAGCGCGGTGCGGCGGCGGCGGGCGCGGGCCCGGCGCGGTCGCGTCGCACGCACTTAACACTAACTAATTACAACAAAACATCACAGAGACCGGCCCCGGCTACATGTAGATGGGCAGCTGCTGCAGCGCCCGTTTGTCGAAGCGCTCGTAGTGCGCGGCGGGCGGCAGGGCGCGCGCTATATCACAGTCCAGCGCCTCGGGCGGCAGGTACGGGTGCGGCTTGAGGCGCGCGCGGGCCAGCTTGCCACCGCCTTCCGGCGCGTACTCGAAGCGGTAGCGGCGGGCATCCTCTGGCGCGCGCGCCCGCTGCGCCTGGGCGGGCTGCGGTGGTGGCGCGGGCGGCGCTGGGGCGGCCCGGCAGCAGCGCCGCACGGCGCGTGCCCGCGAGCGCGCGTCCGGGGCGGCCGCGGAGGCCGTGGCAGCGGCTCCCGCTGCACTGGCCACGTCACTCCTGGGCAGGTTGTTTACAAACGGCACCCGCCGAAGGCTCTCGAGCCTCCGGAAGTGCGACGGGTGGATCATGAGCAGCGGCTCGATCTTGACGCCCTGCGGTGGCTTGGCACAGTCGGGAAGCTCGTATTCGATACTGCAGTCTACGTGTAAAGGCACCGAGTAATCCTTGGGGGCGAGCGAGGCTGGCCGCGCGTCCCGTGCGAAGCGGTCGGCGGCGGCGAAGTCGGCCTCGCCGCGGGCGTAGCCCGTCATCGTAGCGGGCGCGGCCTCACGGCATGTGCGCCGCGGGGCGCGCGCCGATCAGCTGATTGTGCGAGCTAAGGCGCGCGTACGTGCGCGCTGGTCGGCGGCAGGCGCGAGACTGTGGCGGCCAGCCGCGCGCCTGCGCCGCCGGCTGTGCCCCCCGCCCCGAGCCGCCCCCCGCGCCCCTGGCCGGGCGGGCGGCACGTCGCGGGGCAGCGCCGGGCCGGCGGCGGGCGCGGTGGGTCCGCCAGATCGATAAAAATGGCGGCTCGCGGGCGAGCACGAGGGTGCGCGGAGCCGCGGGGCGCAGCGAGTGGCGCGCCGCCTCACTGCGCCGGTTATTGTGACGCGAATGTCAAACAGCTGACTGCGACTACGTAGGAAGTGGCGTGTGTTTATCGGGGCATATCTCGGCACAATAAAGAAAGACGCAGCCCTCGCGGCTCACTTTAGCGCTCTAATCGGCGAATTCTCATAGATTGCTATCTCGTGCACGGCTTCGAGTTTCCTAACGGCGAGACCGTATCGCCACACTGCATGAGGACAATGGAAGAAATAGTTAAGATTCTTAAAAACAAATGTATACAATAGAATAAGGTGGTGTGTATTGTGAGCTGTCACAATACTGTGCCTTACATAGAGGACGCACAATCCATTATTCACATAGCAATGAGAACAAGATTTTACTTGGTAATTACACGCGGAGTAAAGGTTAACATTTATAACATAAAATATACTCGAATCTTTTGTTTTACACAACAACAATAGACCTTCCACCTAGATATGACTTTAAACCTTTGAAAACTATTGTTGTAAAAGTAAGTTGTTAGATACAGTGTGTATAATATTAAAGCATGAATTATTAATGTCCTTTTAGTTATGTCACTTATGCAAAATAAATGAAATACGTACGTTTTAAAATAATAAACATTAACGATAAAACTGAATAATAGTATAAATTTAAATTTCCTTACTTATAGTTAAATTTTCCAATAGTAAGTTATATTAGAAATGATATATTGGTTATAGCACGCTACTATTAACGTCGTTTGAGCGCATAGCATCACATGTACCTATTCCTTGTAATTGATATGAAGTGTTCTGAGAAAGTCAGAGTGTCTCCACTCAGCTAAGATGTAATCGGACACGCGCGAGCGGAGCCGTGTCGTGGGCCGTGTCGTGACTCGAAATGCACACAGTACACACTCGACAAGGATCGACAAGGAAATTGTTAAGGTGCCTTTTCACTAGTTCAAAATTTTATTATATAATTCTATACTTTTTCTCAAAATTACACATTAATTTATCGAAGTTTTCATACAAAATGTGAATAAATATACATGTATACTACTCACATCTCAACCCGCATTGAGACTCATTTGCATGTAAGAAAAACAACGCGGGACCTAAAAGTGCACCCGGAGACTCCAATTATATTTTATATCGTGTTATTTATTATTACATTTTTTGCAGTAAGCACTTTGTTTTATTACGACGTTTCTGTATACATTTGTAGAATATTTTCTCTAATTGCAATATTTAAATGGGTAATTAATGCTTCCATGTCATAAAGTTATTTTAACTACTTACAAAACAATGCTTAAAATATATGTATTTGCTAAAATCGGTTACTTTCGTTTGAAGATATTTTGATGTTGACAACTTTATAATATTCGAAGGCTAAATCTACCTACACATATAATAAAATTGTAACTAAGCCGAATCTGTAATTTTTTTGGGAAATGTTATTGAAATGGACATTATTATCGATAAAGTCGCCGAATCTATAGTTTTTAGAATTTTTGTCTGTCTGTCTGTCTGTTAACTCACTGGAGGGATTTTGATGAAATTTGGTATGAGATAGCTGGTTATCCGGGTCAACATATAGAATACTTTTCACTGCGAGGAAATATCTCATTTCTGAGAAATCTATACTAAACGTTAAAACGTAATTGGGGACGAACCCGAGCGGAGCGAGAGTGAGTCGCTAGCTTAAGATAATATTTGTTTCATGCAAAAGTTAGGATTTCATTTAGTCATTGGCAACTTTTTGTTTGTGTCAAGAAGTTTAATTCAGTAAGTTTCTACTTCATACATAATTAATTATAATTATTTATTTACAAAAATATATAAATAACATTAATCATTCCTATAAAACACTATTTACATATAAATTTATATCAAAACACGTGAAGTATTTAAAATTCATTAAAGAAGTTAACAAAATCGTATTTATTATATAACTAGTAATACTTCTAAACTCATAGTCATAACACATAAATACACTAATATCGTTTTATTATTTTTCTCGTTAATTTTAATGTTACAGCACGATTTACATAAAATTCAATATGGAAATAGCTTACTGCTTGAGCGGCGCTACGGGCAAAAACTAGTTTCTACACAATTTAAATTACTACCACACTTATATTTCAATGCGCAATATTATATTCCTAAGAAAACTACATTAGTTCTAGTCTTCCATTTAACTTATAAAAATAAGTCCCCAATAAAATAAATCTTAAGCAAGCAATTTAAATAAATCCTAACCATGCAATTATCTTCTACTTTAATATAATTGATCATAAAAAAAACTTAATTAAAAAGAGAGCCACCTTCCCAACAATGCTTAATCCTTTTCAATTGAATTCAAAGGAGAAGGTGCTTAAGAAAATCTTAAAGGATTTGTTCTTTTCAGAACTTATATTGGTAGTTGCATTTCGATAATAACTTATAATCTTACCGACTTGTTTGAAAAGGGTCATAGAAATCTTCAAGGTTGCATGATGACTGAGTGTATTCTTACTTATACATACATATATCCGTTACCAAAACCGTACGAAAATAAATAAATAATATAATACTTTCTTAGATTTACGCTAATATGATTTTAAATAAAACTATTGGGAAAGTCGGGAATTTAAGACGGGAGGTCACTCCCGTGACCATGACTGCTCAAAAGCATTCGAAACGTAGGGAACCAAAAATCAATCGATCCGCGAAAAATTTCGAAAAGATAGTTTTAAAATATAACCAATATGGATTAGGTATTTCTTATGCTCATCATAGACTAGTTAGGAAAATTAATTTCTAGTATTCATCCCACCCATCATACATAAACCACTTATTATAATAGACGTGGGTGGTCACTGACTCTAGATTATTGTACGAACATACTAAAAAACAAGTTTAGGTATTAATTAAATTACTATTATTATGAACAAGTAGTAAATTAAAAATATTTGAAGTATATCTACAGTATTTATTGTTTCTTAGATTCTATGAAAAATTTTAAATCGTCATATTTATATCTAAACGTGTGGATTAATATTAATATTATTTATAATACTGAATGCTTAAAAACAAATTTCAAAATTATTAAAAGGTTTTTGTAATTTGCCTTTTTTAACTATATATCATGTGATAGCTTAATTGCAAAGACATTTTCTTATCTGGAACTCATACCATAGCTTCGACTCTTTTCGTTCGTTTCTTGGAATAAGTTTCTAAACATAATGAGTGAAAAGCCACAAGTGAGCACTAGGTTTAAAGAAAATTAAGCATGCCAAAAATATAAACTATAAATAATCACGAAATAGTGTATATAACTATCCAAGTTACGAGCAATACGTGAGAAATTCAGTCACTCAACTGGCACGGAACACTAAGTGATTCTTAATTAACTGCTCAAGCACGAAATTATAAATATTTCGAAGTAATTATTAAAAAAAGATAATTATTTTGTAGTTAACGTTTGTTCCAGTTAAGTATTATTTTGCCAAAAAATCTAACTTTGAAGGTCACTGGTGTATTAATCTATAGTAATATTATAAATGTGAAAGTTTAGATGTTTGAATGTTTGTCACTTAATTACGCCAGAACGGCTGAACGGGTCAGGATGTGATTTGGCACAGAGACTGATTATAATCTCGAATAGCTTTTAGGCTACTTTTTATCCCTGAAAAATATACGGTTTCTGTGGGATGGATTTGTATTTATACATATAATTGACAAACTCTGAAACTACTGAATCGATTTTAATACTGGACAGCTACTTAAAACAAAAATAATGTTGGTTATATTTTATTTCATTCATAAGTTTTCAGTCTAAAGTATCATCACCTAGGGAGGTGGCCGGTGGTTCACTTGTATCTCACACAAGGTTCTAATGGTGTAATTAAGGTCTGTTCTAACTTTATCTATAATCTAGACATCTATACATATTAATAAAATATCAATGTGATTTAAAAATAACAGTTTTCTAAGAAAACATACATATTATAATAACAGTACACAAACCACCTTTTTTAAAAACTTTGTCTGTCTTTCTGTTTTGGAACGGCTTAGCTGATTGAAAACATAAGAATTTGGTTTTTGGTCATCTGAACGCGGGCGGAGCCGCGGGCAATGCTAGTAATTAATATTACCGTACAGATATTCACACGACTACTACATATCAGTACGAATTATAATATTTCATTAACTTCACGAGGAACAAGGTATTACGTAATAAAAATCCTTTACTTCCAATAAAGGGCATTTTAATATTTTAATAATTTTTTAAAATTAATTTCCATTTTGGTAATTATAATTCTACAGATTTACAGATAAATAAAATTGAAATGTCTGTTGGTAATGTCAAAATAACAGATTTTTACTAAATATACATGAATTTATATATGGTAGGTACTCATAATAAAAACACAATTTATGAAATTTTTATCTGTCTGTCTGTTGATTCCGGCTAATTTACGAAACGGCTGGACTGATTTTGGTGGTACTTTCACTGGTAAATAGCTGATTGTAAGGAATAACTTAGGCCACTTTTATTTTAGAAAAAGAATTAAGGTTCCGCAAAAAAAATTAACATACCTAGAGATAAACTCGAGCAAAGCTAGGTTAAGTTGCTAGTAATACAATAATGTAATAACACCTCTTGTCACATTGATATTTATTTAAAGTCTACATATCTAGTTAATAGATACTGTAATTAATATAGAGTGATCCGGTGCGTAATTAAATATTACGGACATAACGCAATCCTTCTCACGAAGCTAGTTCTAGTATTATAGGGCGGTGAAACATTACTCGCTGTCCAGGATAGCTTTACCAAACCACGTAATACGAGAGATGAGCAGCGAACCGAGGGTTGAAGAACGTAGAGTCCGATATCATAGCTAAAATATATCCATGTACATGTTTTTACTTGAAGTCCCTGCTTTATTGAGCGTTAATTCATGGTAGAGACATTTTTATAACATACTCCTTTTTAAACGTAATGTGAGTGAATTAAGTGGAGTTTTAAATCAGTGCCAAGTGCGAGTCGGACTCGCGCGCGAAGGGTTCCGTAACATTATGTATAAAAACGGCAAAAAAAATGTGTCTGTTGTATGGGAGCCCCCTTAAATATTTATTTTATTCTGTTTTTTGAGTATTTTTGTTATAGCGGCAATAGAAATACATCATCTGTGAAAATTTCAACTGTCTCACTATCACGGTTCATGAGATACAGCCAGGTGACAGACAGACAGACGGACGGACAGCGGAGTCTTAGTAATAGGATCCCGTTTTACCCTTTGGGTACGGAACCCTAAAAATGGCATTGAAGGGACTATGAAATAATGTAATGTTAACGTTTGTACAAAAATACTTAAAGTTTATCCAACGCCAGACGCTTTCGTATTTTATATGCGACACAATTTTACTTTATGTCGTAGGCCAATATAAATAAAACAGTAATAATTAATAAATTCGCTTTTATCTTTTAAAATAGCAAGTGTAGTTGAATTAGATCATTTTGCCCCAGATGTATAAATCAAGAACGTTTGCAAAGACCAAATTTAAAACTAGATCACCGCTAATAACTAAAAGGGGTTGTTAGGTAATATATGTACATATAATAGGAATATTTTTCGGTGCTATACGCTATGGTGTCTGTTAGACATATAGCCATTAAGAATCTCATTCAAAATTATAATAAGTAGGTACACTTATTGTACTTGGTAATTAATAATATTATACAACGTTCTTCAAATTCCACATTTAGACTGTAAAATAACATTAACTTATAAAAAATTTAAAACTTGAATCATGAAAATCATTTCACAATTAAAGAAGATATAGTCATAAGATATCTATGCAGATAAATATAATTAAAGTGTCTGTTTGTAATGTCAAAATAACAGATTTTTACTAATTGTATTTTAAATTATACACGCTACTTATGAGAAAAACTCAATTTTGAACATTGTTGTCTGTTTGTTCCGGGTAAACTCCGCAACGGCTGGACTGATTTTGACGGGACTTTCACTGGTACATAGCTGATGTTATAAAGAGTAATTTAGGCTACTTTTATTTTTTTTAAAGAATTAGGGTTCCGCTCAAAATAATTAAAATGTACCTAGAGACGCACACGAGCGAAGCGAGGGTAAGTCTCTAGTTATACATATAAAGTAGGTACATGTACAGTTAATGCTAATACAAAAACACAAGCATAGATAACTAGGTCATAATATGAAATATATATACGTAATATATTAGATATTTATCTCTTAAATTAATCTTCCAACTACGTTCAAATCTATTTTAAACTATAGTGACGTTTATCCCATATCCCAGTGACGCTTTGAAGTGGTAATTTGTGATAAGTTGGTTGATACGAAGCGGTGCAGACGTTACTTAAATAACGTGAGTAATCATATTAAGAGCGAGAATCGTGCAACAATGTCGTTCCCACGAAGGCTGGATGGAACCTAAATTCAATCTTAATTTTAGTACATCTTTATAAAACAAAGCGTGTGTTTGTTTGTGCGTTTCTTATACTCGATAGATTTTATTACTATTTTCATTATCATTTAGAAAATATATGAAATATGCCGATTATAGTTATTGAAAGTAAAGAAACTTAGACATATTTTAATCAAATAGTATATATAGCTTGAGCGAAATCAGCGTTTCGTACCACGATAATTTTATTTGCGAATCAATATGTATGTATGTACATATGTACACATATCGTACCTTATTACTTTTTTCAATGTAAGTATTCGAATAGATCGATATTCAATGGATCGCTCTCGTATAAGCTCTCATATTTAAAGGTAGTCCATCTTTATTGATTACGTAATAAATCACACATATCTATAAAAAATCACATTTAAGTAACGTAATAAACGTGAAACTTTGTTTCCCATTTTTCTACTTTTTCTATAATAATTTTTTTATCATTTTTCTAGAATTTAAGATTCTATTTATCTCTATCTATCCTAAAATTCAATAAAATCCATTACGACGTTAATCTATACATATAATAAAATTGTAACTAAGCCGAATCTGTACATTAAATATTTTTTGGAAAATCTTACTGAAATAAACATTATTATGGATACAGAGGCCGAATCTATAGATTTTAGAATTTTTGTCTGTCTGTCTGTCTTTTACCGCATCACGTAAAAACCACTGGAGGGATTTTGATGAAATTTGGTCTGATGATAGCTGGTTATCCGGGTCAACATATAGGATGCCTTTTACTACGGGAAAATATCTCATCTCTGAGAAATATTATACCGATGCTAAGCGTTAAAATGCAAGTACGGACGAACCCGAGCGAAGCGAGGGTGAGTCGCTAGTTCGTAATAAAGTAATAAGCACGCTAGGTATTTCAATTACACGTTTTATATATTTTATAATGTTAAAGTGATGTGATTTAACTTTTTAGCTATATTAAATAAGTTTTTATGAAAGAAAACTTTTAAATTTAAAAAGCTTCTCATAATATTAACCAGTTTATAGACACAAAGACACGTCTCACTGATGGCCGCTCTACAAGTTCTGGCATTGCCTTGAATAGCGTCTTTGAAACTGCATGTAAAAACTTTATCTATGCTCCATATACGTAACTTCACGTCTTGGGCTAGTTCCTATTATGTACGGCGAGATGGATTCACAAGAATAATAGCCATTTATTTAATGTTTGTAGTTTTATGATGTTGTTTTCGTGGTTTATATACTATCTAGTTATATCTCATGGCTTCTATCACATTAAGACGATAAAAAAGCAGTCATGAGGACTGCTGACCGAAGTGAAAACTTAAAACATAATATAAATATAAATACCCATGACTGGAGTACAAACATTCGTGCTCATCACACAAATGAATGCCCCAAGTGGAACTCGAACCCGCGACCGCAGGCACAACAAGTAGAGTCACTACAAACTGAACCAAACGTGTCGTCAATATTTAATGATTTATTTTAATACATGCACATATATAAGTAACCTTAAAAGTGTCCTCCGTAGAATCCTTTGAAGGTTTTCTTTATGCAACGTGCACTCAGTTCCAGTAGATCTACTTTAGAAATATAATATTAGAATTAAATTCTAAAGCTTTATATAGGTACTTTTAGACAGAGCTCTATCAAAGTGGTAAAACTTAAAACGCGACTCATCCACTAAAAATATTCAGCCTTAGAGAAACAAACAAAATATAAATAATGAATGTCCAAAAGTTCTAC